AGTAGGAGTTATGTGCTCCCTCTTACGAGTACCAGTCAAGAGGCGAGCAGCGGCATTCTGGACCAGCTGGAGGCGCTTAATGGAGGATTGGCTCACTCCAAAGTAAAGGGCATTGAAGTAATTGAGCCGAGAATTGACGAAGGTATGAATTACTGTCTCAAAGTGTTCATGAGAGAGGGAAGGTTTTATTTTGGCCAGCTGTCTAAGATGAAAGAAGCTGGATTTAACAACGGCACCAATTTGCCGGTCAAGTTTGAAATCATTGTCCAGTTTAAGACCCAAGTTTGAGACTGTTGACTTAAGATAAGGGGACAGGGGGCCCAAGTCTACAGGATGGGATGCACAAGGGCCACTGGGACCAAACAGTATCACCTCTGGCTTCTTTTCATTGAAATTCAAGAAATTTTGTGCCATCCAGGTTTTGATTTCTTCCAGGCAGGATAGAAGTGGCCTTAATGAGAAAGGGTCTTTTTTGCTCAGTTGGACACAAATCTGACAGTCATCTGCATAGCAGTGGAAGGAAATACCATGTTTCCTTAAGATGGAACCCAATGGGAGCAGATACAGTGAGAACAGCAGAGGCCCCAGAATTGAGCCCTGTGGAACACCACATGACAGGGGAGCAGTAAATGACTCAGAGCAGCCAAGGCTGACACAAAAGGTTCTGTCAGCTAAATAGGACTTAAACCACTCAAGAGCTCGACCGCCAATGCCCACCAAGTGCTGCACTAAAGACAAGTAGAAGAGGGGACCTCAGGCAGCTGAAGATTCTGAAGCAATGCAGAATTTGCAATATTTCTGTTCAATAGGGGGCGGCTCGGTGGGCGAGTGCTTAGCACGTTGACCTCACAGTGCAAAGGTATTGGATTCGATCCCGGCTGCGGCCTTCCTGTCTGGAGTTTGCATGTTCTCCCCATGTCTGCGTGTGTTTTCTTCGGGTACTCCGGTTTCCTCCCACATTCCAAAAACATGCATGGCAGGCTGATTGAACACTCTAAATTGTCCCTAGGTGTGAGTGTGAGCGCGGATGGTTGTTCGTCTCTGTGTGGTCTGCAATTGGCTGGCAACCGGTTCATGGTCGCCTACTGCCCAAAGAATTGAATTGAATGCAACTTTATTGTTAAATAAATATTATATATATATATATA